GAAACACGCCAAAACCAAGAGGTTCAGTTTGGTAAAATGTCCTCTGAAGGCAATCAATTTGTTTTTTTGTTATTGTTGTGATTGATACTCAACTTTATGTATACAGAGGTTTCTTAATCCATATTCAACTAGAGTGTGATTTACCTTCTTGTTCATCAATATGGCTATTTTTGTTTTTACATAATTTATCAGAGATTATGGATTGCAGACCACTTTAGCTGATCCCAGGAGGAAAAAAACAAGAAGAATCACATCACTAAAATTGTGTTACTGAAGAATGAAGAATAGGCTACCTAACACTACTAATGTATCTTATCTTATCTTTAACAACCTAGATAATCTAGTTACCTTTTATTTGTTTACAAATATACCAATATATCTAATACTTACTTGACTTTTCTATCTGTACGTGATTGCCGGAGTTTAGGTAGGATGGGAATATACATGAGATGGTGTGCCCATAACTGTGGCTTGCAGGATAAAATTGAGATAATTGTGTGGACCACAATGACACTAGTGATGCCTCTGTAAGATTTCAATAAAAATACAATGAGGCACAGACTTATGACATTGCATGTTTTCTCCAGTAAATGTGGTTAGAAGAGGGACCTTGGACACTGTGTAACAACCATTATTGTTGAAAGAGGAAATTGGATGGACCCTGCAATTGTACCAATTGACTAATAATACTGGTCATTAAAATTAATTCCTGGGATGTATCTTAAATAAACACTCACTGCTTTGTCCATAGGAACATAGTAGGGTAATTTAGTGTTGCGTAATATGTCTGCTAGTAGCGTTGTTTCAGATTATGTAAGACAATGAGCCATAAACCCGAATTTGGACTTGCTTCTAAGCATTGAATCACTCGTACAGCTTTACCAGGATATCACAGATAAAGTCCAAGGTTCTGGAAATCAGGAAAATGACACAATTGCTGGTTTAATTTCTGATTAAGACGTTGCACCAACTACATAAAATTGTCAGAGGCTGCTACTCTTCAACAGTAACAGGGCTATCCCCACATCTTTTTTTTTCAAAATGGGAACTAGCCATTGGAGATACCTTTACAAAGGCCCATTGGCACAAGATTTATGACCCAGTCCATCACTGTGCCATAACTATCAGGACTCAGGAATCGGCCTATAAAATCCTCTCTTGGTAGTATATGACTATGCATCTTGAACTAAATTGAGCTGTGTTGGAAGTGCAGGAGGTCAGGGTATAGTACCCTTTAACGGACCGTTTTGCACACAAGAGGTTAAAAACCCTTTTTTCAGATGCACAGGCAGCTACTGCAAGCACCAATCTCCCGAACTGCAAACCCACAAATTCACCAACTTCCGAACTGCAACCAAGGGAATACTCGAAATTCCCGAACTGCATACCAAGTAGCACTCCAAACTCCCGAACTGGAGACACACGAATAGCTGTTAGCAGACGAACAGGAAAAGCACCCAAGCGGCTTACACTCCTACAACCAGTCTCTAACAGCATACAGTAAATCCCCCCAAAGACGAGATGACACTTCGTTTTGAGGGTCAAGCAGAATCTGGTTTACTGGGGCTAACTGCCCGGCTTTTATGCAGGTCTCCCACCTGGTGGACACTCCCCTAGGGGACCAGATGGGAGACTGGGACACAAAGGGTACAAGAACCAATCACAGACTTACACATTTCAACAATCCCACAATGCATCACAATCCCTCCTCTCTGTCCTGGAGATAATTGGGAAGTAATCCAATTATATCCAAGGACAGAGGCAAAACTCCATTACACACATTTTCAGTAAAAGACATAAAATTACATACAGTTACATTTATTACATAAAACATATACATTCTACATATCCCCAGATAGCTTAGATCTGAGCGCACATTACTACCGAATGGCGCTCAGATCACATACATACATTTCAATCGCCATGGAGCCAAAGTCTTTCACATAGTCTTTCGTTACACGAATAGGCTCCATGGCTTAGCTATCTGGGGTGATGCTGTTCATCTAGTTAAACTACCGAACAGTCATTCAGTTTTGCTACCGAATGGAGAGGTAAGGAGGCTGGTGGCTCAGCGGTTCGCGCCAATAAGTGTCTGTGTTCAGTTCCATAGTTTGGGCGCTGAACACCGCTGGCCATTCGGGAGGTAAAATGGCCGCTGCCACGTGTTCGGCAACCAAACAAAGGCCACCCAGCGTTCATCAATTAAGCTGCGGTTAACCACAGCTTCTGGGCGGTCAATTGACGGCGCACTCCAGTTCCCAGTTGGTCCATCGTTCGGTAGTTTGTTCGGTAGATTGAATCTACCGAACACCCCGGCAGAAAGGCACGAATAAACCTTTCAGCAGGGAAAATAACAGGTCTGAACTGCAGGGCCATAGTCTAAAGGGAGCAGGCGAGCAACCAGGCTTCTCCAGTGCATAGTGGCCAGGTTGGTTCCGCCACATACCCTTATGGAGGAGTATTGCCTTCATCATTCATAAGTTAATCCACCACCATTGTCCTGTCTGCTTTCCTCTCCATCATACCACCATCCATATATAAATGCTCTCTGACAATCGGCATCCTGAACACAGCAAAACAGTTAATACCGCACTTCAGGAACAAGATATCATGCCTCCTCTATCCATTTGGCTCACTAGGATCGAGGAGCTTAGGACACTGGAGTACCTTTGGTACTTCTCTCATGATAAGATACAGACTTACACTGGAATCTTGTCTCAATGGCTGACTTCAGGTTTTACAGCTGATGTTCAGCAGTACAATGGGGATTCAAGGGGATCACCCAAACATTGAGAACCCCATCATACTTAACTGGGCCCACAGTTCCAGAGTTGCCGCACACTTGACAGGAATGATGCAAATTTCCACCGCTTTAGCAACCCTTCCCCTTAGAACACCTACAGACTCACCTGTAACAACAATATAGGGTAACAACATGGCTAATACTTTTCATACAAATCTGAGGGTGGCCTGGGAGTGCGTCAATTGTTTTCTTCCCTTTCAATCCCCTTTCACCTCCTTCCCCTTTCTGCTACCCCCTCCCAAAACTTCCTTCTTGTTAATGCTCTTGTTCGACAATCTTCTTGTCTCTGTTGAATGACAAAATTGAGTATAGCATGAATCTGAAAAAATTTAGTATATGCCGAAAATACAACTGTAACCTTGTAATCTCTTTCTGTATGCACATCTGAAATTTTAAGAAAAGTTATTTACAAAAAAAAACATTGTCGCAAGTCACCCAGCATTTCCCATAACAAAAATCATATCTGTGCATGATCAGTTGTTACATAAAAAACGTTGATGATGGTGCAGTCGCATGTCTGCTGAGCTCCGGACTGATAGCGGCAAGAACTAGACAACAACCCATAAAATAAACGGTGCACCGTCGAATACTCGGCACCTCCCAGTACCACACTAAGGGGAAATGAGCAAAACAGCTAAAAGCCACCTCGGTCGATGGCACGCAACAAATAGGAGATATATTCCTGGTGCGGCCTAAAGCTAAAATGGCCGCGACGCCAGACTACCTAGGCCTATCTTCGGAAGAGGACCCACTGGACTCCCCAGACGACCCTTTCTCAGCCGTGCAATTAGGAGACCTAGGGGCTCTTGCAACAAAAGGAGACCTCACAGGAGCTCACAGTACACAAGGAGGGCTACTCTTTAGTCGATGCACTTAGATGCAGTGGCGACCTGCCTGGGGGAATACTGGCCCAGTGGAACCTAATCACTACAGTAATATGCCCTATAGCATGTTTAACTTTATCTAGTATGATACATCTTATTACCTCCTATGCAAACCCATTGCTCCCCACCACGCAGGACGGCCATATACTTATGAATTGTGCCTCTGTGGTCTATGTGGTTTATTCTCACATGATAGTGCTAGGAATGCATCTGGATACACACTGAGAATAAACTATTTCCAGCCTATAAGCTAGACGCGAATAACATCTTGTACATATACGCATCTGTCTACTCACCGCAAAGCCACACCACGCTTAAGTTAAGGTCAGCTCTGTCTAATGTTAGGACATATCTGAGTACCCTACAGATACACCATACATTTTAGCAACTGTAGGCTTAGTTTGTTTCTCTTGTTCTGCAATGTTCTATTCTATAAAAATGTGCAGTACTATCACATGCCATTCAACTCTATATCCATGTCTTGAACTGTTTGCCCAAGCTGTTGCGGCACGGCAAGCCTGATTGTCATATTTATGCACAAATAAAATAAAGAATTAAAAAAATGAATTAAAAAAAACTTTGATGATGAAGAGTCCAGAAGACGATCAAGATGCTAAAACATGTACTTGTGATTGATGTTCAGGAAATTTCATTTACTTTGTCAAGTGAGAAACAAACAGAAAATCTCAATACCCCAGTCAAGATTTCCCTTTGCTCCATATCCAAAAAAAGCCAAAGAAATATCTCATGATCTTTCTAGTTTGAAGAACATGTTTTATGGCTACTGGCATGTCATCAGTGACATGCTCCAAAAGAAGCAACAATAGAAAACCAACAGGTTTAACAGGATCAGCACACTATTGTAGGTTTATTGGAAACAGGAACACAACAAAATATGTTTTGGCCAATAGGCCTTAATCATGTATATTTATACTTTTTTGATCACTTTTTTGCTCACACCACGGCAGACTTCTTTATAAAGCAGTCAGTGTAGGACCCACTTAGGGGGGGTCTGCCTTGACATTGGCAGGCGGGCATTCCCTCCCATGGCCATTGGAGTAACTGAATGACCTCTATTTGTCTAAATATACATAGGGATTAAGGAGAGAGTGCAGGTAACTTTTTTCTTTGTTTTTTTCTTTACAAAGCAACTTACTAGTGGTACCATCGGACATATCGCTCATAACATACATACCACTGGCGCTCATAACATACATACAGCTCATAATATGAGCGCAAGCAGCGGGCTTTCTGCTCCCTCTTCTCATTTTGACGCCATCCCTGAAGGGACGAAATGAGTAATGTGTGGTGACCGGATGGGTGGGTTTGAGCCACCGGTCCCGGGGGCTGTCATGTTGATTGTTGAATGCTGATAGACTGCCCGGCCCTGCACTCCGTATCCGCAAGGCCCCGGCCCTTCCATGGCCAGTGAGGGTGGGCATCCAGTAACAGGCTGCCATGAGCCCGGATGGGGGGGGCTCCGGTGTGCCAGTATGGGGCCCCGGGGCTGCCATGCTCTCTGCATTGCCAGGCTGGGTGTCCAGGGTTAACCCTTTCAGTGCCAGGTGGGTGCCCAGCGCTTCACGGCCTTCTCTGGCACTCTCAGGGTTAACTATATGTCAATACACAATGTATGTGACATGGGGTGATGGGTTAACCCTTTAATCGCCGTCTGGCTCAGCACATGGAGGGGTGGTAGTGGTGGTGTTAACCTCTGTCGTGCCAGTGCTGTGCCCCATGTGGTGCTAGTTAAAGGTCTGCCTGCGGTGAGCTGCATGTCTGGGGGCCCCATCCTGTCCCCGGCTCAGGGAGCAGCACCACGTGGTGACACACAGGATGGATTGGTGAATCATTAACCCCTGCTACTAAATCACCATTTCGGCTACCTGGCGGTAGTTTGTGACTGGTAACAGGATTCTGATTCCAGACATGAGCCTGGTGACGTGACTGTTTTTACCTTTCAGGCTCTGGAGGAAGGCAATGGAGAGCTAGTATTGGGGCTGACATTAGGGTGATATAGAGCAAGACACTCGCGTTCTGCCACATGGAAGTATCTTGGTGCCTATTGTTTACAAACATTCTGAATCCGTCTATAAGGAAGATGTCTATTCCACCGATGACTCAAAGCATTGTGAGTCAATACCTCTCAAGACATAAGAGAGTAATCTGCATATACCACACACTACATTCTATGAAATTGCAATAAAAAATACTTTCTGATGTTTTAGGCGATATTCTTGTTGCCATAGACACAGACACTTGGTTTCAAAAATACTGCACAATACAGAATAATCGTGACCTAATCAGTATCTTCAAATCAATTTAAACCAAGAGCTTCCAGACATCTCTTAGGAACTTGCAGACGACCCCAGAGATTATCTGAATACGGACTCATCAATCTTATCATGGAAGTCAACAGTATTTTTTAAAAAGTATTCTCGTGAAATGTACTTGTGACACTAACAGACTGTAACCTGATAAACCTAGATACCAAGGACGATGGTCTTTGATGCAGCGCCATCTATTGGTTAGAGCTTGGTTGTGCACAGAGATTCTGTGATTTGCTTAGCATTGCATATGTTGTGAAGTTCAGGCAGGAGGCTCTAGGATATGGATATTATATGTTTCCTCTGACTCTCCTCTATGTCACAGTGTTTTTATTTTATTGTATTTCCTTGTTGCCTATATGTATATGCTTTATGTACTGTTTTAAATCCCTCACATTAAGTTAAATGTAGCATTGTTAAAGAGCAATCCCAGTTTAAAAATAAATAAATTAATCATTCAACAAACTGTGCTTCTTACTAGGAGCCTAGTTACTGAGTATAAAGATTTGTCTTCTGGCAGTACAGCTCTATGGTATTTGGAATCATCTACATAGTTTTTTAAGGCAAAGAAGAAGGCCTGTGAGCTCCAAGTGACTTAGTTAAGGCAGTGTTTGGAGGCAGCAATGGCAAATGGATCGATAACTGCCTGGAAGGACAGTCAGATTGATTTATACTGCTGGAGGAAAAGGGGCAGAGAAAATAGTGGGAACGATCTGGATCCAAAGTTGGGGACCTGTCTACCCTTTTCCTGTAACAGTACTTGTATCTGAATAAGAAATACAAATGTTAGGAAATAAAGCCACGTTTGTGTGTCATTTTTCTTTTAATTTCTATACGTAAAAAAGATTCCCAAATTTTACAACTTCGATATTAGGAATTAGGCTCAAAATTATTAATATGCATAGTTACATTATGATTTCAAATATTGTCTCAGCTAGTGTAGTCATTCTATGAATATTTTTCATCAGTAAAAAAATAAAATTATTAGAGAGCTATTCTGTTTGTGGTTTTATCACTCCTGCCTATTCTGCGGTTTAATTATTTTAAATGCTTCTATTAAGTACCGGAAACAGAATGCATCTTCAGACTCCTGCTCAGAGCACACCTGACTGATGAATATTCCTCCACATTTCAAACAATTTCCTTGTTGCCTCTTTTTGCAGATGTGCCATTTTAGCGTTTTACTGGCATTATATTTATTTTTATTTTTTTTTATTTTATTTTTTTACTTCTGGTAATTGCTTCAAGAGAACAAAGCTCTTTGTTTAAGGGGAGCTCAGGGAAATCTTAATTGCCATAAGAATGCAGACAGTTTCCAAGTATTTTTCAATGACTTTTTCGTTTTACATTAAATATTAAATATCTGATGAGGTAGATAAACCTTGAACAGATGATGTTGGCAGATATTATCAGCAATATACCACGTGCTCACATCTTGTGCTTTAGTGGTAAATACAATATAATTTAACAATAATGAGATGGTATTCTGTTAGCAATACCATTATTTTTGGTAAGGATTTTGCATAAACAACATGTTTATAATTAGCATACATAATTACACCTATCTGATAAAAACGTAGGCTGTGCATTAGAGATGTCTAACTTGGCAGATGTTCAGGCTTTAATGTGAGTACTTTAGTTGACTTGGCATTAATCAGATCCAAGGACCTATTTGGATGTAACAAATGTACCTTCTTGGCAAAAGTAAAGCATCCTTGTAGCATTGGTGATTTACTAGCCCACATTGTAGAACCAGTTTAACAGTTTGGGCACCAAAGCAATGCATTCTTAAGTCATCAGAATTTTTTCTGCTTAGTTCGTTTATTCTACCAGCTATATATAATGTGAATTTGGGCTTAGTATTTTTCAGATTTCAATTGGAAATTAAGCTTTTAAAAGCCTCTAGTTGTAGAGTGGAAAGCCAGTTATGTTACTTCCTGGCTGTTTAGCTCAATGGAGCTAAACTCAAGATGCAGCAATTGCCTATTGAGCTCCATTGGGAAGTCCACAACTGGACAGCCGCAGAACGTTTGGGCTGGGTTAGAAGGAGAGGGCTTGTAGACAAGAAATCTGCAGCTTTTCAGATATACCCCAATAAAAAAAAATGCATAATAAAAATGCATGTATGTTATCATTAGGGGGATGTCTACTAAACAGTGATTTTTAATTAATGTATTTATTTTGTGTTTAGGCAGCGGGGTATCTATTTAAAGTTTAAGGATGAACAAAGCTTTTTTTTTTTTCCATTTTTATCTTTAACACACTATTCGTTATAAACCTTTGCTTTTTCCTCATGTGGAAACATAACATAAAGAGTGATGCAATCCCAGCTTGATATCCAATATATTTACAATGTTATGTTAAAAAAAATGATCTTTATACTAAATGTGGGGCAGTCACCATGGAAACTAGTGGAGCCAACAGGGACAATCCATTGCTGACTCAACCTTGGTACCCTCACCCTGAAATCCTTCCTATGCCTGTGATCTGTACTGTTCTCTTATGGTACTATTGTTCTATTTAATTATTAATTCTCAATGACAGATTGAAATAGTCATTTAATGCGTTCTTGCTGTTCTCAAAAATGGAGAAAGGCTTTTGCACATTGTCTGTGGTGGAAACACTATAATTCTCAGTAATGTCGTATTCTATATCTTGATTAAGTTCAGCTCTATGTTATTTATGCTATATTTAATGAGAAATGTACACATTCCTAGTATACCGTATATTTTTTTTTTTTCAAGCCTCTCTCAACATATGAGGAGATATTGAAGACATTTCCAACTTTACACAGTGAATACCAAACCTGGCTACTGAGCTAGTTATTGTAAGTCTCACCTTAAGATGTGTCATAGCTGCTCAATTAATAGATCATACTCCTCTGGACACTATCACACATTTTACTGACCAATCGGTACTCACTAAAAAGTCTGTTGCTATTGTTTGCGAGTTGTGGCTGTATAACAGGGACAACATTTCTCCAGTAGCGACTGGGAGTTATTTACTGCCATTACTTACAGTCTGTTGCTAAGTAATAGCTAAATACTCCTGTTATTTTCAATGGGATCCACTAATCACTACTTACCAATTGGTTTCAGATTGGTTATCAATTCGGTCTCTACTATTTGATGGCTGCCACTAACTTTCAAAGCTCAGCACCGGCTTTTTGCCTGAAGCAAAGGAATTAAAAACAGATGCGCATTTATGCATCCGATAGGAAAAGCACATGTTATTTATATGGCTTACATGGAAACCCGAATGCAAATATCAATGTATAATAAATCATTTGAAACAGAAATGAAAAAAAAAGAAAAGGCCTTAATGATATAAAACATAAAAAACAAAAGTTTAAAAAAAACATGTATGTAGTAAAACAATGGCTCTACTACATACATGGCTCATTTGTGTACCCCTTGGCAGGCATTTCCATAAACTGTACCCCTCATATTAGCAAAATGTTTGTAATGAACATAATAGTTATTTCAAATATATATGTTTTTTTCTGCCCCAGGCTCTCCCTGCTCTCTCCTCTGCCCACGGCTTTCCCTCCTATTCCCTCTGCCCCAGGCTCTCCCTGCCCTCCCCGCTCTCTCCTCTGCCCCAGGCTCTTCCTGCATTTCCCTCAGCCCCAGGCTCTCCCTGTTCTCCCTTCTGCCCCCGGCTCTTCCCTCTGTTCTAGGCTCTCCCTGCATTTCCCTCTCCACAGGTTCTCCTCTCTGCCCCAGGCTCTCACTGTTATCCCCTCTGCACCAGGCTCTCACTGCTATCCCCTCTGCACCAGGCTCTCACTGCTATCCCCTCTGCCCCAGGGTCTCCCTGCATTTCCCTCGGCCCCAGGCTCCCCCTGTGTCTCCTCTGCCCCAGGCTCTCCCTGCATTTTCTTCTACCCAAGGCTCTCAATGCTATCCTCTCTGCCCCAGGCTCTCCCCTCTGCCAAACACTCTCCCTGCTCTCCTCTCTGCCCCAGGCTCTCCCTGCTCTCCCCTCTGCCCCAGACTCTCCCTGCATTTTCTTCTGCCCCAGGTTTTCCATGCTCTGCCTCCTGCCCCAGGCTTTCCCTGCTGTCCCCTCTGCCGTAGGCTCTCTCTGCTTCTTCTTTGCCCCAGGCTCTCCCTGCTCTCACCTCTGCCCTAGCCTCTCCCTGCTCTCCCCTCTGCCCCAGGCTCTCCCTGCATTACACTCTGCCGCAGGCTCTTCCTGATCTCTACTTTGCCACAGGCTCTCCCGTCTGCCCCAGGCACTCTCTGCATTTCTTTTGCCCTAGGCTCTCCATGCTCTCCCCTCTGCCCCAGGCTCTTCCTGCTCTCTTCTCTGCCCCAGGCTCTTTCTGCTCTCCCCTCTGCCCCGGGCTCTCCCTGCTCTGTCCCAGGCTCTCCCCTCGGTCCCAGGCTCTCACTACTTTTCCCTCTGGCCCAGGCTCTCCACTCTGCCACAGGCTCTCCTTGCATTACCCTCTGCCCAAGGGTCTCCCTGCTCACCTCTCTGCCCCGGGTTCTCCCTGCTCTCCTTTCTGCCCCAGGCTCTCCCTGCTCTTCACTCCGTTCCAGGCTCTCCCTGCATTTTCTTCTGCCCCAGGCTCTCCATGCTCTCCCCCCAGCCCCAGGCTCTCTCTGCTCTCCCCTTTGCCCCAGGCTCTTCCTGCTCTCCCCTCTGCCCCAGACTCTCCCCGCTCTACCCTCGGCCCCAGGCTTTCCCTGCTTTTGCCGCTGTTCCAGACTCTCCCTGCATTTCCCTCTGCCGTGGTCTCTCCCTGCTCTTCTCTCTGCCCAGGCTCTCACTGCTCTCCCCTTTACCCAAGCTCTCCCATCTGCCCCAGGCTCTCCCTGCTCTCCCATCTGCCCCAGGCTCTCCCTGCTCTTCCCTCTGCCCCTGGCACCCCCCACACACACACAGATACAAGCACTGACACAAACACTGGGAACCCCTGTAGTAGAGTAATACAACATGTACATAGTCATAATATCCTGCTGTGGCCAATCACTGTTTGAAGTGCGCATGCTCAGGATGAGCCTTTTTTATGGTACGGTGTGTTTGCTATCAGTGTTAATTTTGGCAGAAAATTTCAATTTAGTTTTAGTCATAGTCTTTTGACTAAAATGCCATTTTTGTTTTAGTCGTCTTTTAGTCATCTGAATTGTTTTAGTTTTAGTCTATTTTTAGTCGACTAAATCTCAAAACTTTTAGTCAACTAAAATTGTTAGTCGCCAAAATTAACACTGGTTGCTATGGTAACAACTTACATAGTGTTTCTGTGCCTTACCAGCAAGTGGCTAATCTGCGATTGTTAGAATGTTTGCATTCAGAACTTATTGGTGGCCAGCTGGTAAAACATAGTGGCAGTGTTGGAAACCAGTTGGTAATTAATACGTCACCTCTATTAATCATGTTATATCTTGACTTGTATTAGTAATAATACAACAAATATGCCACAATTAATCATATGCACAACATTTAATAGATGCAATGCTATATGTACTTAATAATGTAATTAACTGAGGTTCCAGGGTTTAATGACCATGCTATACAATCATTTTATAACAGTACATAATATAGAGTGTGGAAATACATTTCTTACATTAATATGTTTACCCGATGCATCTGTTCCACCTCGAAGTGCAAAACATTCTTCAACCAAAGGTTTCTTAAAATCACAGTTGGGTATGTGACAGATCTTTTTTATCCTAGCTTAGGGAAACAACCAGTTCACTTAAAGTATACAATATTGATCAACAATGTTCTTTACAAGGTCAATAGTTGCCTAGTCTCATTGGTTGACATAAAAAGGAAAAACTGTTTTGAAACAGATAAGTAAAGGAAGGAATATTCTAAAGGAATAATGGATCTTTGGTTTGTCCATCAGTGACTTTAAAGTATGGAATAACTAACTGTATCACACTAACATTAAGGCATTTGTCAGGTGCATTAATCTTTCATAGAAGAGCACTGTCAAGCCTAGATGATTGATGGAACCTTACTTTAGCAAAACCCTGAGGTGCATCTGGGGACTTCAAAAAGTATATAGTATAACCAGATTGCTGAATTAAAAGCATTTACCAACTTTATGGTCCCCTGAGTGTCAAGGGAACCTTTTTGTTTTATTGTCTCTTTAGCCATACTCATGCTGTCCTCAAATGACTTAAAACGACTATCTTGTTGAGAACATTTTTTTTTTTCATGTACAGAAAATATAAATTATTAAGAAAAGATCATATAAGGAAGCAATCGGTGTTAAGAAGAGTAAAGATAAAAGGCTGGAGACAGATGTTTAGATATGGAAAAGATTTCATAGGCAATGTAAATATTTACTAGGTCTCAAAGTAACCAGAAAATACTAGACTAATGGTGGGTACCCATCCAATTCTCCACATTTCAGGCAAAATCAAAAGCTATATCTGAAGTTTACATTATTCAGTAAAAGTCACCAATGTCATCTAGCTTGATAAAGACCTCAGAGCAGGTCAAAATACTGCTGCTCTTTTTTGATCTATTAAAACTGCATGTGGCTTGAACATCTTGAGTGCTTGGAGAATATTTTGTGTTGGCTTACCAATGCCATGGAGACTTTTTAATCCAAACTTTATAGGCCCACTCTTGATAGAACATAACCTCCTAACTTTCTTGACTCAATTATTGCAGTACCTTATCATCTATTTAAGTAGCATTCAACATTCCATGGCATTAAGCAGGAGGATAGTTGTCATGACCCTTTGCCCTCTGGATGCAGCCTTACCTGCTATGACACCATTCTGATGCTTTTTGATTGCTCCACCTTGCTTCCTTCATATAGCCTCTATTTATGCATCCATCCAACAACACTGGTCACATACAGTGGGGGGAAAAAGTATTTGATCCCTTGTTGATTTTAAATGTTTGCCCACTGACAAAGAAATGATCAGTCTATAATTTTAATGGTAGGTGTATTTTAACAGTGAGAGACCAAATAACAAACATAAAATCCAGAAAAACGCATGTCAAAGTTATAAATTGATTTGCATGTCAATGAGTGAAATAAATATTTCATCCCCTATCAATCAGCAAGAGTTCTGGCTCCCAGGTGTCTTTTATACAGGCAACGAGCTGAGATTAGGAGCACTCTCTTAACCCCTTAAGGACACATGACATGTGTGACATGTCATGATTCCCTTTTATTCCAGAAGTTTGGTCCTTAAGGGGTTAAATGGAGTGCTCCCAATCTCAGCTCATTACCTGTATTAAAGACACCTGTCCACAGAAGCAATCAATCAGATTCCAAACTCTCCACCATGGCCAAGACCAAAGAGCTGTCCAAGGATGTCAAGGACAAGATTGTATACCTACACAAGGTTGGAATGGGCTACAAGATCATCGCCAAGCAGCTTGATGAGAAGGTGACAACAGTTGGTGCGATTATTCACAAAAGGGAAAAACACAAAATAACTGGCAGTCTCCCTCAGTCTGGTGCTCCATGCAAGATCTCACCTCGTGGAGTTTCAATGATCATGAGAATGGTGAGGATCTTAAGGCAGTTGGGACTATAGTCACCAAGAAAATAATTGTTAACACACTATGCCGTGAAGGACAGAAATCCCGCAGCGCCCGCAAGGTCCCCCTGCTCAAGAAAGCACATGTACAGGCCCATCTGAAGTTTGCCAGTGAACATCTGAATGATTCAGAGTATGAAAGTGTTGTGGTCAGATGAGACCAAAATCGCGCTCTTTGGCATCAACTCAACTCGCCGTGTTTGGAGGAGGAGGAATGCTGCCTATGACCCCAAGAACACCATCCCCACCGTTAAACATGAAGGTGGAAACATTATGCTTTGGGGGTGTTTTTCTGCTAGGAGGACAGGACAACTGCACTGCATCAAAGGGACGATGGACGGGACTGTAATGGCACCCCGAGTAGGTGAAGGGGTTAACTCCGCCAAAGCTGTTCTTTTTCCCAAATGCAAAGTCAGCTACCGAACACTCCTAAGCACCGAACAGGAATCATACAAATTATCCCCCCAAGCACAAAACGAAGCTCTGTGTTGAGGGTCAAGCAGGATCTGTTTAATGGGGGCTACATGTCAGCCTTTTATGCAGGTCCTACAGCGAGGGACACTCCCATAGGGACCTTGTGGAAGACTGAGACAGTTTTTACAGTAACCAATCATGTACACGTACAGAATGCAAACACTCCCACACAAACAGTACAACTCCTCCTCTCTACCCTGGGGATAATTGGGTTAAGTTCTTGAAGTAACTCAATTACCTCCAGGGATAGAGAATATCCCCATTTTACAAT